CACTGCTTGCACTGGCACCAAGCCGAAAGCACCAGCCTGAAGATGGCGAGTGGGACCTCGCCGAAACGTTGCCTAGATACTTTGAATCTTACGCGGGAGAAAACCCGAATAACCAAAGATCCATATATATATATATATGTGGCACTTTATGGTTTCAGTGTCTTATAGATGTCTAAGAGAGTAAAAACCCACAAGCGTTCAGCACATTGCCTAATTCTCTATCCTTTCAGCACATTTTCCTGCCACAGAGCAAGAATTGGCAGTCTTTAATCCCAATGAATTTCTTCCCACATGACTTTGAAGAGACTTAGAGGAAGTAAAAAAGATCACAGAAAAAGAAAGACATAGAAGAGGATTGTTAAAATCCCATGAGGATCTCAAGCAACATTTTAACTAATAGTGCAGTAGGGATTGAGGCCAGAATCATTAAATTATGTAAATCTAGATTCTAGCAAAGTTTAACAGATGGACATGTAGGTCAGCTGCCACATCCCACCTAGCTTAGAAAGCCATGTAGTATCAGTCATGTCAAGAATGAGATGATAAACCGGGATTTTGCTTCAAGAACCTTATATCCATCTGGCTGTTATCCAAGAATTTAAATACTTGTACATAGGGGAAATGTTCCAGATATGTATGTTAACTTCTAACTAGAACAAAATGAAATCCCAGATCAAGGATCATATTTTTCTCCAGTTTTTTTATTATTATTATTTTTCATCCTCTGAGAATACAGGGGGATGGCCACGATCTAGTGATATTAATAGAGGGATTGAGCTGGAATATTCAGTCGCCACTCTTGATGATCTGTTCTGATTCATTTGGGAAAGTCTGGTAGGGATTTCCATAAAAGTGTCGTGATAAGCATACTAGAGAGCTACAGAAATGTTTTCTTTGGTGCTGCTATTAAGTAACAATTTAGCAATTAAAAGCTATGATTATTTGCCTAATTTGGGTGGCATGATCTTAAGGAGTTTGAGGGCTGTAAAAAATGACAAAATCAATTACTGAACAATACATATACAGTCGGTGTTTTTTCCTATGTACATATACTTTACCTTTAACCTTACAGTCACAATCCCAAGAAAACATTGCCTAGCAGAAACTACATTAGTTAGATTTCATGTTGGCAGAGGAAGGGCAAGGGAGAATGTTAGGCAGTATACCATGTGGTGTTTTATTAATGATGTCAAGCACTCATACAACAATCATCCAATGAATCATGGTGCATTGCCTGTCAGTTTTTCGCTATAGTGCTGCTTGTCTAGTTGCTCTTCAGGACAGTCTACAAAATGGTTCATCCCTAATAAGCAAGAGGAAGAATCCTATTTGAGAAATTTGAGACCAGCCAACCAGTCCAGTATACTTTTGAAGGTCAGAAGAGAAAAAAGTTGACAGTAGCATTTTAACCATCTGCTCACAAATTCTTAATAAGAAGCATGAGGAAATGTGGAAGCTTTATTGAGGATCTTTCAACTCTATAAACTAGATCAGATTAAGAAAGTAATGCTATTTAGGACTATTTTTATTGTAACAGCTCCAGTAAAACTCTGCAACTCTGGTTGTGATTTCCCATTTCTCCTTCTACCTTTGGGTGAACTGGGAGGGGCTTGTCTGAGATGTTTACTCAAATTAATTTCTTGGCCCAGGTTCAAGTCCACTTACCTGAAACTGCCAGAGTAGTAACTCTTCCACTTATACTAACTAATATTTATTTTGCTTTCCATATATTTCAGCTCCTCAGTTTTATATCTGTTCCATTTTCTCCATTTGTTTCATCCGAATCACCTTTACAAAATATTTCTCTGCATAAGGACACCTTATATTGTGGGCTGTTCGGGTAGAAAATAAAGTAACATCCCCATATAAAATCTCAAAAAAAATTTAAACCTAGGAAGAAAAAAAAGTTTTCATGCGACTCTCTTTTTTCACTTAATTAAGTAGTGCTGTTTGCCATTCCTAAATAAACTTTCTTCCTGAATTAATTTTTTTCATTGGCAGGTTTAATTACTTATTTCTTGCATTCGTGCAACATATTTACCTTGACTAATCTGATCAAACCATGATTATATTCATTTTCTCTCAGCTGATTGCCTGGGAACCAGTACAAGAAGAAGATATGACCTTGGTGACAGTACGGCCTAACTTCCAAGACAATATCCATGTTGGTTATATCTCAGGTCTCAAGAAATTCACCGAATATTTCACCTCAGTCCTATGTTTCACTACTCCAGGCGATGGACCCCGCAGCCCACCACAGCTGGTGCGCACCCATGAGGACGGTACGGCCTTTCCCTTTGGAGCTGGGCAAGGCCCAGCTCTTGGATTCCTCTATGTGTGTTAACTATGGCCCCACACTTTCCTTACACACCAGGCAGCATGTGTTAAACACGCTCCTCCATTGCAGAAATTTTGTTATTGCCTCAGTTGAAAGGTCTAGCTTTTCATTGGTGAAACTGCCATATTTCTCTGAAGGCCCTGATGCTTACCGCAGTTAAATTTCCATCCATTTCCAAAGAGGCTTAATGATTCCTCTGGAAAGTCAGGAACAATAGCTTATCCTTTTGAAGAATGAACAGAATGGTTGTTCAGTTGTAATTTTCTGGCTGATGGATTCTTTGTTTGACTAGTTCCGGGTCCAGTGGGACATCTCAGCTTCAATGAGATCTTAGACACATCTTTGAAGGTCAGCTGGCAAGAGCCCTTGGAAAAGAATGGCATTTTAACAGGTAAGAAGATAAACTTCCAGATTAAGAGGCTCATCCGTGAGGCTTCATTCATTCATTCATTCATTTTTATGATTAGGTTTATATGACACCCATCTCACTGACCTGAGTAACTCCGGGTAGTTTACAACAGAATAAAAGCATAGGTATAAAAACATTAAAACAATTAAATTAAGATTAGCAACAATTAAATAAAATATTAAAACCAAGAGCACAGATGGTCTAGGGGTGGACTTTTGTCTCCCATCAATCAACCACCTCCAACACAGCACATCTCTATAATTATGTTTTGGTAAATTTCTGCAGAGGTGATTAATATATCTTGAGGATGTATTACCATTAGCAAAAGATAATGAACTAGTTAAAAAGGTTACAGCTGGAAACTATATAAAGTTCAGTGCTGGGGTCCACGTACAGTTTTTATATCAGTTCAGAATCTGCATGCCATCTGTCCCCAGAATTTTATGGGCACTCCTGTACCTAAACACTCCTGTACCTAAACATGACTTCTTGGTCAGATGTGCCACATCCAAAGGAATCCTGTAAGAAGAGTTCTGCAGCATTAACACTTAAGTTATTGGGTAGGTGATTGCCCACTGCCAGAAGCTTTCACTTTGTCCATTCTTCTCCTTGCCCAGCTCAAAACAAGGCACCAGTTTTTATGGAAAGTGCTGAAGTAGAAGTCAGATTACCACGCTGCCTTGCCTACATTTCATTTGGGTTAAACAGAACAGATTTCAACTTTATTTTCTCTCCCCATGCAAAGAAACATGGAGATACAAGGACAAGAGACGGGGCATTTGCTAGATCAGGGGCGTCAAACTCAAGGGATGCTTAGATCTAGCCTGTGCCCATCCCCCAAGCTCCGTTTTTGCTGGCAGAGGGTTAGCAAGTCCTGCCTTAGCACCTGACCCACCACAGATGCCCCCAACACAGGTGGTGTCAAGCTGGCCCTGCCCACCCTGGCCACTCCCCCACAGTCCTCCCCCCCAAAGTCAAACACAACCCTGATGCGGCGTCAATGAAATCGAGTTTGACACCCCTGTGCTAGATCCTGATTTTTGTGGTTCCCCTGTCCATGTTTAGGATGGCAATGATGAGAACACATGAGGTAGAATAAAAATGTTGCTGAGGATCTAAGGATAAAATTAGTGGCTGTAGGGAAATTTTCATCATAAATATTTTGGGAACCAGACTTTTGATATCTATTTCTGGGAAAATCATGCAGCCCCCCTCTCTCTCTGCTTGTAATAAGTAGATTTTAAAAGTTTTACTGAGTTATTTAGGTTTGTTTTGTCTGTATCCTGGCTAGGAATATGAAATGTGTAGTGCTATGTACCTATATAAATTGTGGGGTTTTTTTTTAGGCTATCGGATCTCCTGGGAGGAATACAACCGCACGAACACCCGCGTTACACACTACCTCCCCAATGTCACCCTGGAGTATCGTGTTACTGGCCTCACTGCTTTGACCACCTATACTATTGAAGTGGCAGCCATGACATCCAAGGGACAAGGACAGGTTGCTTCCTCTACCATTTCTTCTGGGGTTCCCCCAGGTATGCTTGATTTATTGGTCTTCCTGCAGCAATTAGTATCTTATCGCCAGGCTTAGCAGAGATCCCTCGGTCTCTGCCCTTTTGCACAGAATGAAAATTCTACAAGAATACATATAGGGGACAAATCTTTGTTTTTGACCAATGTATGGATGCATTTGACAGGAACTTATGATAGAAATTACTGAAAAGGTGGCTGTACATACAAATGAATTACAAGCCCAATAATAAGTACAGAGAGAAACCGATCGATCTCGATATTTCAAGTTACAAGGAGAATCCCAATAGAATATGATACACTTCAACTAATCATTTAGTGAAAACTATAGTTGCCCAAATTTTCCTTGTGGATTTTCAATGTTTATTTGTAAGGAAAAGGAATGTTTTGACAACGGTCAATTTACCTTTTTCTTGGTTAAGGGTTTGATTTTCAGAAAAAGGGAAGAGCTGACAACAGAAAAGATATCTCTCTCTCCTACCCTTTCTGTCCCCCTCCCACATA